CCGGGAACGACAAAAGGCAGGTTCGAACTTTCTTGGCAAAATTTTCGTTGAACATTTTCGTTTCATATTTTCTTTCTTGCGTCGAAAGAATAATTAATATGTATTTCAGTTTTAAAACAGTAAGTTCATTTACTCTTTATTGCCTGATACCGTAAATTTTTTTTTGCTTGGCGTTTGCCGTTTGACGTATAACGTGAAGCTTAGGCAGCGTTTACACTGTACCGTTTTCGTAGCGTTCTCGTATTGTTCGAGAGAACTAGACTATTGTCTTGCGTTCCCTTGAGGATTAAGAACAATACGAGAACGCTACGAAAACGGTACAGTGTAAACGCTGCCTCAAACTCTCCATTATTCGCGTGGGCCACGCGGGACAACACGCATGACAACACGCATGACAACAAGATGGCCGACAAAACATAAATAGTATTAATCAGCCTAGACCTAGGCCTTCTATTTTTATTTATATTTTTTTAATATTCAGCGCTTTTTCACATGAAAAGACTGGGACTAGGTAATTTGGGGGCGGGGCGGAGGAAGGACACAAGCCTGACGCAAGCGAAAATATAGAAGGCCTAGTGGATTTCCCAACAACAAGGCCAAAACTGCCCTGAAACTGCCCTGATTGCGAAATGCCCAATTGTTGCGTTCTCAAACAGAATTATTTGCAACTTAACAGCGAATTTAAACCGATACAGGTAAAATAAACTCATTTATAGTATAACTTACTATTTTTATTTGTATACACGTCTAGAAAATCGGGGTTTTTATCATAAAGTTTGAAACAACACTATTTATATATGTTGACAAGGTGTAGCGAAACGGCACAAAATAATAATTCTTTTATTCGCAAGACAATCTACTGTTTTGCTTTGAATAACTATATTTGCGAACTGCGAATGAGGAATTTGAAATTAGTGTTCAAATATTACAGATATACCATTTGTATAAACAATGTACGTTTTTATACACAGTACTGTACGGGCTAATAATATATGTATCTGTTTTATTTTGTATATTTTACAAACACAAGACTGCTTCTTGCCAAAATTGAGAAAATATATATTAATGTACTTGTGTATAAGACAAAATTTCATGAAAGATTCTACTTTTGGTATATATTTTGACTCATTTTGTTCTTTCGCTACACCTTTCAACATATTAATAATAGTGTTGCTTCGAACTTTATGATAAAAAACCGATTTTCTAGACGTCTATACAAATAAAAATAGTAAGTTTATACTATAAATGAGTTTATTTTACCTGTATCGGTTTAAATTCGCCGTTAAGTTGCAAATAATTCTGTTCGAGAACGCAATAATTGGGCATTTCGCAACCAGGGCAGTTTCAGGGCAGTTTTG